CGCAGCAAACTGAAGTGGAGAACCACGAGCCGCGCGTTAACACCGTGTGCAACATCTGTGGTGCAACAATGGGCAGAAGTTGATCGATGAGGCCCCCCCCCACGAAGACGCGACTGAGTTCAGCCGGCTGATGAACGAGTTGCACAAGGCGTGGCAGGAGTTGAAGGAAGCCCTCGATCATAGACGAGCCAACTTGCTGAGGAACGAGCGGGCGCAGCAGTATCTGTTCGATGCCAATGAGGCCGAGAGCTGGATGAGCGAGCAGGAGGTCTACATGAGGGTGGAAGATCGGGACAAAGATGAAGCCAGCTTCATGAAGATGAAGAAGCACGAAAGTCTGGAAGCGGCCGTTGAAGCTTATGCGGACACCATCAGAGGACTGGGTGAAACTGTAAAGGCCCTGTCAGCTGAAGGACATCGAGCCAGCTACGCGGGCGACCGAGCTAAAGAGATCACAAATAGAGAACAAGAAGTGGTGTCTGCATGGGCCCGTTTGCAAATGGTTTGCGAACCGCGCAAAGGAAAACTGGCGATCTGTTCAAGTTATTCAACCTGGTGAGGACGCTGATGCAACGGATGGACAACGCGGTGCGCCAAGTGTACACCATCGAAAAGCCGCGCAATGTCGGCGGCGTTGAACTGTTGATGAGCAATCAGAAGAGCCCTCAGGCAAAATTTAAAGTTGTCCACATTCCCCGTTTGGCCAGATATAACCATGATCCAGGAATTACCTAATCGGGGCGATCAGGGTTTAGAAGGGGGGCAGTGTAGCCAAAATGGCCGGGAGTACTCACGTTTGGAATGGGGGGATAAAAATTCATGGTATTTCAGTAAATGGGAGCCCCATTTGGGCCCCATTTACTGTCAAATATGACACTGACAAGGGGAAAGTTTCGCACCTGTTCTGGAGATTTCGAGAACTATCTGGTTGCCTGGAGGAAACTATATAAGCGACGACGAGAACCAGACAGGGGGAGTGAAGTGACAGGAGCGACCGGGTGCAAAAGAGGTTGAACACCGCGAGTCGGAAGAGCGAGTTTTCCGTCGGTTATTGTTATTGTTTGTGAAGTTGACGGCAATCTTGAAGTTAGTTTGTTCCTGTTCCGCAATTAAAGTTATACCCAGGTGAATAAAAGTTGGAAGCTGAAGAAAGAGTTTGATACTCGGCCATCCACGGTACAATATGAAAGCAATAAGTTTTGTCTGAACATTTTACAGTTTGAAATATGTAGTTGTCCGCTAATCGCTCAAGAAATTGATTCGTTTTTCGAGACGTTTGCAATAATTTAGATACATTAGACTTTACTGGGTGTCGATTTCTAGTTAGTTCTCAATTCGATTTCGCATAATGTTCAGATTAAAATATGCTATTGTAATAATCAGATTAAAATATACTAATTGTAAGTAGTAAAAACCTGATATGAAAATGAGCGGTTGGCAATCACTTGATTGATAAACAGATCTGAGCCTGTATGGTGTTATGGTTTGGTGTTATGTTATTGATCAGATATGAATCAAAATCAGGTAATGATGCTAAAGAAACCAAAACCAAACCAAAATGCTATTCAAACACTTCATTATTACTGATTTCCTAATAGTTTTCATGCTATGGAAAGCTTAAGTTTCAATTGTAATTTTAGTTGATTTGCAGTCGTGTTTCAGAAAATGCAGTTTTCTAGTTTCCATTGCCAAATGCCGTAGACTAAGCTTTAATTCATCGTCCCGATATATTTACATGTTTATATATAACACTTCTGCTAAGAGTGCAAAAAATGTCAAAAAAATAGTATTCACAGGTTCAAATATTTTATATTTAAATGCACATGGAATTACAGTCAATTATTTTTTTAACTTTTAAGAATACAATCTCCGTTATCATCGCTGCAATAACCAGACTCACAGAAACAGCCAGATATAATATACTGTGGGCAAACTTCACTGCTACACTGGTTGATGCATGAGTTAGAACCTCTGCAAACTTCATGAGAACCTGAACATGTTACGTTTGCACAGGACTCTTGCATTTGAACTAGATCTGAAATTTCACATGAACTTTACTAAATTGTTTGAGATCTTGGGAATAACATTAGCTTACCTCCAATCCATAAGGAAATAATCACTACAACCAACAGAATCTTCATTTTACTCTAGAAAATACCACACACGGCTGAGTAAAGATATCTTTTGCATACAAATTCTCACTTTTATAAGTAAGCTACTGATATATGCTAATGGCTTTTAAATGATAACAGGTAAAAAAACCCAGATATCTGTATCTTAATTATCCGTCTACAAATGCATTTATAAATAAAGAACATGACATATAGGATGAGCAAATTACAAGGTTTATTTTAGAATGAACGTCCTGTTTGTTGATATCAAGGCAATAAGTTTTGTGTGAACATTTTACATTTTGGAACATTTACTTGTCAGTTATTCGTTCAAGAAATTGATGCGAAACCTGCTGAAATTTCGCAAGATTGATAAAGATCATTCTAGGCAAATCACACAGTATTTTGGGCCTTATTATTTTTCAGCTAATTACGCCAAAGTTTCGTTATCTGTAAATAAACACTAGTAAATCCATAACACATAGTAAAACATATAGTATGGATGAAATATCTTTCAATAAATAAATATTTTTGGCGTTCTCAAATTAGCACGCCACAGGAGACGCGACTGCTTTCTTCCCTCCGAAACAAAAATTAGTCCATTATCCACTTTTTTCCCCAGAGCTGGAGCAGGAATTGAAAACTTTCACTAATTCCTACGAAATTTTATGGAAATATATTACGTGTTCTGATCAGCACGCAACTGAAACACACGCAAAATTTAAATAAAATATCTTCATACGTCTCGAATACCTGTATCCACTTCACCAACGAATAATTTTTGAATACGTTTTATAAAGAATAATGTCAATATTTATCAATATGCGGTTAACATAAAAACTGATTAGCTGCAATATTCAATATTCAAAAAATTTGTATTAACAAAAAATTTGGTGCTCATTTCTCATAAATTAGTTTTCCTCAATAACAGATTTCTATTAGGACGTTTTTGTAATTTGAATTTAGAGAAAGTTTTGACTTTTAGAGAACATGTAGGGTCAGTAACATAATAAGCAAAAGTTCACTCTTAAAAAAAAAAAAAAATTCTTGCAGTTTGGGACACTCGATACATCTGAAACATTGACAATGCTCGTTGCACTTTACATTTATTTTCTTATTAGCAATTTATAATCAAACCTGCTGCTTATTTTTACATGCAGTCATAAACTTCGCCATGTATAACTAAATATCTTACGTATTTAATAAAATTGAAATAAGCAGACTAACACAAAAACCTGTATTTAGCGTAATTGGTTAAGTCGGCAATTTAAAACCATTAAGAAACCTTCGAGCGCAGAAATAGAAAAAACAAATTGATTCCTACTGAGCGAAATTGTAAATATTTGTTTTGCAGATCCGACTCTGGTTTGATTGAAGCTCATCCCTTTTAACACCTTTATAAGCCCACGGTAGATCGTTAACACACCTTGATGGACTCTAGATTAGCGTCATGCCTCAAGGAATGTCGTAAACGAGTTCTCGACGCAAACTTATTATTTTTATTGGAGCGAATTAAGTTGTCTACTCTAGTTCATTAAGGGTGGTAAAACGGTTCTCCGGTTTGCTTTTACTAGATTCGGGAACGGTTGAAATATATTAGAGATCTAACATCAGCGGCGTGCTTTTAGACTGTGGTTCAGTGGAATATTTCTTCATTTCACGCGATGTTTTTGATCTAACTAACTTGATCGATACGGTAAATTTGTAGAATATGTGATGCAATAAAATGTATAAAATGAGGTCAATGTATTAACGGGGGAATTTATAGCTCCAATGATTGAAGACTGATTTTGCAGACTTTAGCAGAAAAGCATTTAAAAAAATCCTCACAGTCAAATTTGCCTTAACTTTGGAACTCGATGGATTCTGATTGCTTCGAGCGATTTAATTTCTGTTTGAATCTGAACCAATTTGACTTTTGCTAGTTAAGGTTTTGATAAAAATAAATTTTGGATCTTAACACCAAAAGTTTAAAGATAAACCAAATAGCTCGAAACAAACATTTCTTCTGTTACAGGTTGGCCTCAAAAAAGCAAATTTTTGCAGCGATAACTTTTCTGCTCTTTATCCGATTTTCACGATCTACAGCTTATGTAGAAGCTGCAACTTCAGAGACAATAACACAAATATCTCCCTCTAACTCGCTGATTCTCGCAGACGTTCAACTAAACTGAATTTTACTTTCAAATATTTTGTTCATTGATGCAGCTCGTTCATTATCAACATTTTCAATAAAAAAACATTTATTGATGCGAACCAAACAGTTGATTTTTCATAGACGGTCCAAAAATGCAAAAACTTTTATTCAATTCGCGGTCTTCTTAATATATGCCTGTGGTGAAGAAAAACAAAAAAAAAAACGTTTTTCTCTAATGGAGAACACGAGGATCTTTAACATATTTTGGATTGTTTTATTTGACACCCTGTGGAACGCTACAAGTGAAAAAGGATTGCACTAAATAACGTAGATTTTGTTCAGTGGTTTATTTTATGTGATAGTAAATCCTGCATAATCTAGTTGGACCTCAGCTCATTTTGTTCATATTAGTTTTTACAACTTTTTCACAGTATTGGACTTTATTATACAGTACTTAATTTTATTTAATTAATTATACGCCAGTGTTTTGCTATAACTGGCGTATATGAAGCGTATTCAAAACATAGCTATAAATATCGGATTTCATGAAAAAAGGCGATCTGCATTTATATATTTGCTCATTGCTCCCTTATTTGGAACTAAATCTTCGCCAAAGCTTTCATCTAAAATACGCCTTAAAAATTTCTTCAAAAATCACTAACTATTTGGTGTAACAAACTTAAAAGTCGGTGGAAGTCGCGGTCAGCAGCTGTTTTAGCCAGAAAAAAAATTCCTTTCTTCTTCAATTGTCAATAATGAATTGTCAGATTAGTTTAGTTGAACTTTTGGCCAAAAATATAAATAACTTGATTACAGAACTATATACAGCATGTTTAAAACTAGCCCTATCGGTGCAATATATTTTTAGGTTTATGTATATTTAGGTATACAAGATAGAAAACAACTTTGTCAATGTTTGTAGAAATTGACCAGTTGAATCTTTGTTTTGCAACCGATTTAATAATTTTCAATTTAAATTTTCAATAAGTTTCCAATTTTAAACCAGAGCAAAAAGTACGATTTGCGAAAACTACAGAGATGTTTGCAACATTTTTAAACAACGTTTTTTGCAAACTTTTTGGTCACTTTTTTACAGCCGCGGTTTTCATTTCTTGTACGTTTGACGAAAACTATTTTTTTATTAATAAATTAATTTAGTTAGAGTTAGTAGCTTCTTCTTCTTCTTAGAGTTAGTAGCTTAAAGTTGTTTCAAATAAAAAATAAAATTTGCGCAACATTTGCAACCAACCAAGAACAAATTAGATTAGAACTTTTTCTTGGGAGCCCCAAGAGCCTGCTAGCTATTTAAGATTAATTTTCTCATATTTTTTGTGACGTCTGTACATTTATTGATCAGATATGAACATTTATTTCCATTAATTTAATTACAATTTGAAAAATCTTATAACAGAATTGAAATTGTCCTAATATTATAATAACTTTTTTTTTTATAATTTTTCTGTACCGAAAGCCAAATTTACTACGTTATTCTTCATAAAAATGACAAAAACTATATGTTAAAATATAGTCATAATTTATAAATAAATATACAGGGGGTACCCGTAAGCACATGATCAAAAGGGTACTGTGTTATGGGTATTATTTGGATCAAAAGAAGACGCTCTGATCTAACTTTTATTAACAAAAAATGTTTGGCTCTCTGCTATTAATGGTCTGAATACGAAGTTCTTCAAAAAATTTTATCTTTTTTGAAATATCGAGAGAATGGTACGATGTATTTTGGTGAAACTCGCTGTGAACTTGTTCTTATGTAAGATTTATAATTTGATGAAACAATCGAGTTCAGCCGTTTTGGACAAGTGGTGAATTTGCTGAATGTCGTGGTTCAAAAACTATCAGAACTTTTTATTTAATGGATGGATTCAACTCATTTTTTTTTTGGTTGATGCACTAATCATTTATTCCCAATTTTGCGCTCTTCGTAAAATCTTGTAGCTTCATAGTTTTTGCGAAAAAAATATTGAATAATATGAGTTGATTCCATCCACCAGATTAAAGTTCTGGTAGTTTTTTTATCACGACACTCAAGAATTGAACTCTATAGTCAAGTCGCTTAGCGAAACCATGCAATATTATTATGTGTTTTCAGACTAAATCTGGTTTTGGAGACGTTTTCCTTAAGGTTTCCAGTCTCCTTAAACAGGCAAGTTATGCTGTTTACTACAGCGACCAGGTTCACATTTATGTCCAGTCTGCAAGACTTTTTGCATTTTTTGTAGTTAATTCTAGATAAAATTTTCATTGTTTATGGTGGCTGCTATATAGATCGAACTTATATTTCATCTCTCAAATGACGCGTATCTTTAACAGATTTTTTACTAGGGAGGATCTTTCAATGTTTGTTTCCAGCCAAATCATTCGTATCAAATCTTCTGATCTTATTGACATTTTCAACTTGGATTAGCAGTAGTGGCGATTTCTAGGCGATTAAAGCCATTGGAAGCGGTCTATTGGCATCAATACGTTTTTAGTTGAGATATGAGAACCAGATGAAAACGATAACACACTGACACAAAAAATTTCTGCGCTAGCGCGTTCTAGTTCATGCTGGTCCAGAATAACTCTGCCAGAGACTTCTTCTCCCTTTAGCCAGTTGTTCGCGAATTCTCTTTCGTCACGGTCGTAGAGTCTCTATTTTGCCTCTAAATTGCCGGTTTAGAGGCGAAACTATCAGTCTGTGGAATCAGTCCTATTGGCTTTGACTAAGTGGGTAAGTGTGCAAATGTATACTCAGAACGGTTAGTTCGTTCGGGGTTTATATCAATTCGAGAATTTTGAATATGTTTTTTGCCAGTATTTGCATAGCATTAATAAAAATTTTACATTGTTGCCTCCTGAGTTGCCAGAGTAAGCAGTCTTTTCTCCTGAATGTATATTTACATGGGCATGTTCTTAAATGGTTTTGAAATAAAAAAGGATGCTTATGACAACATAGTTGCGCTCTTATACAAATTGGTAAGTTACATCTACTGGATATTTTCCACTTCTTCAAT